TCAGATTGCACACCTACGTACATGTAAACCGTTTGCCTTCTGATCAACTTATACATGTCTACTTCGTCCCACGAAAAATGAAAACTTATTACCAGACTAGATGTTAGTCAGCCATCAGCTTCTAAGACCAGACGCATCAGGAACGATAGATACTAATCAATTTTTGGTCTCATGTCATTTAGGCTGGTTTTGGGGACTACAGTAATCGGGATTCGGATATATCGGTGGAGTTGCGTTCGTTGTCCTGTACAAGACGCACGCAAGAAAACTGTCACGGAATGGCCAACATTTTTATGGCTGACAGAATTTATGTTCAGAAAAGAAAAACGATAATCAGTCGTAGTGATTGCCTGAGAAAGTTTATTTCTACCAATATTCATCTTGTAAAAACCTATCGTCGCCAATATGTTTGAATCACTAATAAGTAGTTTAGCAGATTTGATAATTTAGAAGAGACCCGGTTGCAAAAATTCTTGACTTTGGCTGGATTCGAACCAGCGACAGAAAAAACATGCCCAAACGCGGATGAATAACTAGGTCCAAATGTGACATTTCTGAGCTTCCGGGGTAACTTTGTAGCTCAGCTGGTAGAGCATTTGCGACATTTGGGCATGTCGTTTCTGTCGCTGGTTCGAATCCAGTCGAAATCCAGATTCTTTGCAATTGGGTCTCTACGAATCTGTTAGATTTCTGTTGACCGTGCTGTTTTCTCTTAAAATAAATCACCTATTACACAGCCAAAATGATGATAAAGAGTTCCTCGAATTCAAGCCATACTAACCATTGTAAGTCATATATAGTAATCATTGTTTGCAAGCACAATGAAATATTAAAACTGGTCAGCTCTGTAAGTTCTGAATAAGGTACAACTTCAACGAAGCCCTTTTAAGATAAAACAATTGTCAGCGATGACTTGAAGTTTAGCGGCCTTATCAATAAGTGGAAAACACTGAACTTCCGTTTCAAAAAAGTACGTATTTGTCTTCAAAGTACGACAATAATATAGCGTTACAGACGTGGTACCTTACCAAACAGACAACACAAGCACCGTGCCACATCTTCGTGGTACCACGTCAGTAGCACTCGCTCCAATTAAAAAGGGTGTTTTCTATTTTAGCTGCGACTAAGTGATCTCCACCTAAAGTGTATTATTCGCTCAGCTTGACTTGGCTTGATCACCTCACCATTTGGTGAGAGAAAACCGTCCGGGAACCATTTTCAGGTTGCGACACTTTAGAACAAACCTTCTATTTTGAGGCGCTACTTTTCATGCATGATAAACCAGCCTATCGTGACAGAAAATTGGTGACCTTGAATTTTTTGTCTGGTATAGTTTAGAATGGTCACGGACCAGTTAGTTTATGGATTTGACTTTCATTCTCTTATATTTATGTGCTTAACCACTGCGCTTTAGGTCGCAATTAACCAAAGTATATAAAATGAAACATGTTTTGATTTCGTTACTTAATGTTTTGAAAATGATGAAAAGTTCAGTCTGTGAAGGCTTCATGAACACAGTTGACATATCTTGCTGTGAGAGATGAACGGAAAGTTGTCATGAAAAGTTTGGTAAGGCTGACAGCTAGCAAGTTATCTACTCAGAACAGTTTGTCTTAAAATTTGTTTTTGTATTGTTTTGTGCTGGAGCACTCTGGTGGAGAAAGGAAATGTAACGATGTCTCCATCTTTCGCCAGATCAAAGGCTTAAAAACACTGTATGTACTTGACGAAGATGAGCGGTATTTGACTCCGTACATACTGGTTGTGTCTTAGAAAGCAGACAAACTAATGTGTCCCAAGTTTGAAGACTAACGTTGTGTTTAATGCTCGCGGCATCATCAAAAAGCCAAACATTGAGTACTTCACTTGTTAACTCTTTCAGTAATGTACTGGAAACAATTTTTGCTTAAATATTAGGGTAGACGGGGTTCAGGTTCGGAACAAATAAAACTCATCCAAGCAACCGGATTTCTGTAAAAATTACAGCTGTCTCAAAAGAAAGTAGGTTTTATACCCATCCATTATCAATGAATAAAACAGGCGGATGACCGTTATAGACTTGACTCATCACGGCAGTCACATGCCCAATCGACCCTATTTAGTGGTGTTTGTAGTTTACTTTACACTCACCAGAACTCCGTCCAAAGATATAGCGATACAGCATTAAAAAACTTTGACGAATTGAAAAGAGAGAGATATCAAAACAAATTTCAGGTAGATAAATATTAAGAGGTTAAAGCAAACTGGACACTACTTAAATGGGTTTTTTATTGCAGTATTTGAACTGTTAGAACCACCGTGGATAAAGAATTCCAAGAAAAGGGGCGTCGTAATAATCGAGAGGGAGAGTTTGTGGACCTCGACCATAATTCTCACGGCCAAGCAACAATATAACGCTTGCTTGTTATTTGACTACTTGACCACGCCATATCATTCGGAAGATCGCTAATCCTAAGGTTCCGTGACTTATGTTCACCAAGCAGTGACAGCGGCTGCGGATAGGTGGAAAGAAACTCAAGGGAGTGAGCGGGAGTTGCTCTGAAACTGTGGAACGGCATGCGGACGTCGTTTGTCACAGTACCGTACCCAGTTACGTATGCATATTTTCGCCAGGTTTTCGAGATGGTTTAATCATTCGTACATTATATATATCAACAAGTATTCTGGAGACAACGAATACTGACATAACCCAATCTGACGTGGCCACCAATTTGTTAATATGCACTAAAGGAAGTCAGCCATGGACAACGACATTGGACAGAAAGGGAGCCAGTGCCAACTAACAGGAGAGAAAAAACGCAGATCATAAAATTACGACCATAAGTTAGGTAATCAAGCAATAAACTCGACATCGGGATGTTTATTGTTCACTATGTGGTTGTAATTAAAGTCAGATCGGAACGCGCAACACCTGACAAATTATATAAAGTTAGGATAACTCATTATATGTCGGAGTAAGCAAATTAACCATAGTATATAATACTACATCGCACGTTGTCACAACGCCGGGGAACGTGAATCTTTTATTCCCTACATTAAACAGCCCACTGTAACATACTGGTGAGTAAGTGATTATTCGGTTGCATTAACTTCATCGGCTTCATGTGTAATCTCAACTTTTGAGTTTTCACAGAACTTTCAGCCAGCCCGTTTGAATAAAGCTCTAGGCTCGAAGATATCTCTTGTTTGAGCTCGTTGGTAATACGAACACTTCCTACGACAGGGATCTACAAGGATCTACATTCACGACGTATCCAGGTTGACCATTACAACGCTGACCTCACTTTATACACAACCACATTATCCCATCATTAGTGACTAACGCTCATGTTGTCCAATCAACTCGAGACACACCGGCTATCTCATTAATTCCAGTCGGTGGCTTCATAAGTAGGACTTCCGATCAATACTTCCTGGTGAAAGCAACTGCGCACTCAAATCCGATTAATTAGACATGCTTAATATGAAGTGAGTTGCGCAGTAGTCAACACAGCTGCCTCGTGAAAGCGTTGCCGACACTCACCTCTTGGTCATAGGAAGGGTTCGCAATACTGGTGACATTTAAGAAGAAGCTACGTCAGCTGTGGCGATTTTTTCAAGTAGCTGCCCGGAATGTTAAGTTGAAAAGGAACAACTTCGAGCGCTACTCAGATTAATAGATAAGTGTTAGGTCTTACCTCACTCAGCTAAAGAAATATTTCAAGTGCAATAATCACTTCGGGACAGTTTGCACCGATCCGTTTTGCAGCCTTCAGAGAGGAAAGGTTGAGCAACCATATGATGTTTTTATTTAAACATCTGTATGCTTAGAATAGAGCAGACAAAAGACTGACGTTACACGATTTCTGCTCGAGTAGATTTCGCTGCATCTCTACTGGCGTTTACTGCAGAGGAGTTAAAATGTACAAAATTCCAAACCACATGACAATCACAAAAGGTCAAAGTTCAAAACCAGTTCGGTTGCTACCACGGCAGCGTCAACGTCACAAACAGCTCTTTTTGTACACATAAAATGGGGTGACGGTGTCTGATCGCAATCGCCTCGGCATATCGTAGCAAACGTTTGTTTCGAGTCGAGAACAGAACACGAAATGACTTTGATGAGTCAATCACATGTTGCGTCATCAAAAAATGCTTGACAATCGATGACGCTGGCTCCTTCCGGGTATATGCTGTCGAGTTGCCTGATTGTGTGACCGTTTGTTGAACCCATTTCGGTAAGTGTTCGGTAACCCTGGTTCCAAGCTGGCGCTCAGTTCTGTCAATATAGAATGCTCCGCATCCACATTTGTATTCGTAGATTACGTTTGATTCGCCGAACTGAGACGTTGGTTGCTTAACTGGGGGCTTAGGGACTCGGACTGTTTTGTAAACGATCACTGGTTTCGTGGCAAAGACAGTGCGTACAACAGCTGACCTTAGGCGTTGTTCAACTATTTGACACACATTGTCCCCCTTGAATGGCAGTTGTAAAACTACTGTCTTTTTGGCGACTGTGAGTTGAGACTTATTTGTTCATTGCTTGTGTTGAACTTCCTCATAAATCCTCCCGGATAACCGTTGTATGCTAAAGTCTGTTCTATTTGGCGGAGTTCATCATCCAGAGTGTCACTTGTGCAAAGCCGTCTGGTCCGGTCAAATACCGTTCGTGCCAATCCTCTTTTATATGCTACTGGAACACTGCTGTCAAAGTGTAGGTACTGACCGGTCCACGTATTCTTTCGATATACAGCTCGTTGAATGGACCCATCCATTCTCTTAATCATGCTGATATCCAGAAACGGCAATCGGCCATTAGTCTCACTTTCTAAATTGTAGCGAGTGTTTCGGTTCATTTGTTCTAGCAAATCTGTTGCCTGCATCTGATCATTTGTGACTATAAGTATGTCATCGACATACCTTTTATAGAGGACTAAACTGTCCAGTTTGTTCGCCATTTGATTTTCCAGTTTGGCCACAGAGATATCGGCCAAAACTGGTCCAAGCGGACTGCCCATCGCGACTCCATCAATCTGACGATAAGCCTTGCCTTGAAAGCCAAAGCATACGTTAGATATACACAGCAAAATTAGGCGTTCTAGCTCACTTTCCGGGCTTGCAATGTTGATCTGATTAGAAATTATGTAGGATAGCAAGAAACTGATGGTTTCTTTCAGCGGCACGTTTGTTAACAACGATTCTATGTCCGGTGAAGCCATATGTTTGTCAGACATGTTGAGATTTTCTAACAGCGCGGATAGATGAAAGCTATCTTTCAGGCGGTACTTTATCAGAGAATCTCGTACCGGTTTCAGTATTTTTGCCAGCCATTTGGCCAGTTTGTGCTGCGGAGAGTTGGACATAACCATTATTGGTCTTAACGGAATTCCAGACTTGTGCACTTTGGGGAGGCCGTACATCTGAGGAATCTGACTTCCACACGGCTTGATTAGCCGACTCACATGATCCCAACCGCATCGTTTAATTTTTCTGATGAACTGTCAGCCGTCTTTATTGCAGGCCTACCTCAAGCCAACTATGACTGATGCTTGAAAAATTGAGTTCCCTTTATCCTATTCATTAGGACAGCAAGAAGACATACGCTGCAAGATGCAAGCATTTCGTTTATTCTCATCAGTCGATTACGTAAAACATTCAGCTATATGGGTTA